ACACACACACACACACACACACACACATACACACACACACATACACACCTGTGTTTCAGGTGTTATGGAACATCGTAATATAAATAAATACGGGTAATTCATTGGAGGACTTACATTACTCGTAAGAATAGGAGGAATTTATTCATAGAAGTTGTTATTTTAACATTTTCAAAAGTCGCATACATTATTCATAGCCTATAGAATAGAATAGTAGAATTAGTTGTTAACATAAAAAACGAATACATAAACATACATTTTCACCAACGTACCAGAAACTCATGAGGGTCAATGTCTTCAAACCGTACCACAAAACGCAATTAATGTTTTACACCAATCCTCCCCCCCCCCCCCGACTCGACTTAGATCATTCACGCCAATCACAATCACCCTGGGTAGAATCGAACCCAAGTCTTTTTTGTACTTGCCAACCAACGATGATAAAAGAAATGGTGAGTGAGTTCAACTATACATTCTTTCAGCACTGTAAGTGTAATCCTGTCTAATAAAAGGGTCTTCCGACTTCAATGTCTATCGTCAATAGGATTGATGCATAATCGGAGAGCCTTGAAATCCCCCCTCCCGGGGCAAAAAACTAACTTACTAACTAACTAAATAACTATAACTAATTAGCTTGCTAGCTAGCTCGCTAGCTCACTCACTCTCTCACTCACTCACTCACTCACTCACTTACTATCTAACTAACTAATAAACTAACCAACTAACTATCAAAATCAATAATCAAACCAAAAAACAACAACAACTACCAGATTCAGGAACGCCAGATTCAGGATTAGAAGCAACGTATTCTAAATAAGAGACAAGCACGATATCAACAGATCAGAAGATTTTCTTTTTCTAAAATAAACGAATAAAACTGCTGGTTCAAACTACATGAATGAAGAAAAGAACAATCACTGACCCGTCAGCAGGGAACATTTTGGAAGACGACAGCTTGGAACCTGCTTGTCAGGGCCACTCTGAGCCGCCAAGAAAAAATAACATCCCAGGAGAAAGACGGAACGCTCTGTAAAACAGAAAAACAGACACCGCCCCCCCCCCCCCAACCCCCTACTTCCAAAAAAAAACCCAAAACAAAACAAAACAACGACTCACCAATTGACGATGACGAGAGCGAAGCGAATGCTCATTGTTCTGTAGCGGCACACGTCCACCAGCGTTTCCCTGCGATCTGTGTCCGTTTCCCCCTCCCGCCTGACATCCCCACCTACGTCATCCGTGCTCACCAGCTTCTTCTCAGCAGCGTCTCTGGCAACCTTGACCTCTGAGGCCAACATCTTCTCGAACTTCTCCTCAGGAAAAGCCACGCCATTGGCTTTTGCTACTTTTTGTAAAATGACCTTGGCCTCTTGGCTCCGCCCCCTGGACAGTAGCCAACGTGGGGACTCGTACACTATCCTGAAATACGAAATAAAAATAAAATTAGAATAACAAAAAATAAAAATCGCCGCGCTTTTCTGTCTGAAGACTGTCTACAATAAATGACGATATACATAATAATATTATTATTGTTTCATACACCCAGCGCTGTATCTGGTCGTATATGATCCCGCAGGTCAAATCGAGGAGAATATTTCTTCAATATTTTTTGGTTTCTTTGCAAATAGTCATTTTTGCGTCACAAGAGTCAAATCCAAACCTACCCC